GCGACACTGAGCATCAAGTGCGACCAAATGTGCACTGAGCACCAAATAATTATATGTATTATCGAGAAACTCGTTTCTTACATATTTTTAAACTCGTTTATTGATACGTAGTATATGATTTATCACTTTGATTGCAATTTGATACTCCTCGATACGTTATGCAACTTTGTTATTGCAAGAATAATCTTTCATCGCGCTATATCTTTAAGATAAAGAAATTCAGATTTATAAAATCATATATAAATATAATGTATATTTTAGATTTTTATTATGAAATATCTATATATATAATATTTATTTTTATTTATTTATTTTTTTTTTTGTTATATTTATTTATTATATACTAAATTTATTTACTAAAAATACAGCACAAATATCACACACACACACATACATATATATATTATATGCACACACAGTGCAACGCTAATTGATAAATAAAGTAATAAATAAAATTTACTCATGGATGGATAACTCAAGCGATTCGTAAATGGCGCTATAAATTAAGTCGAAAGAAATTTAGTTGCGTTCGAAAATCCGTCCGTCAAAGTGCAGAATTGCCCGTCCAATCGGAGACCGAGGATTTCTTTGTCCTGATTGGTCAATCGCGCGCTTCGCCCTAGTTGAATACATTTCCGAACACAATCTAGAATGCTGCTGCCCTCTGCTACACTTTCGTATTATTGCTCAAATCAACCTCCGCGCTCATCGTCGGTCCGCGAAAATACATTTGTGAGTATTAATTAGTATCTTTACGTCGTTAATTATTGTTACGTCCGATCGCGTCGCGTGTCCGACATCGTGATCGCGATCGTACGAGCGAGATTGATCTCGTCGGCCGCGAATCTCGCGTTCTCTCACCTTCTCTCACATTCTTTCGAAAAGTCGCGTGACGTCACGGCTCGAACCGCCTAAAGTTAGTCGAGTTCGCGCGAGTCTACTGGACGGGACGAATTATCGGGTGCGCTTTCGACGCGAAGATCGCGGGATTTTTCGGTGTTGTCGCTCGTAATCTGAGCGGGAGCTTGCGCGTTTCCGGTCTTGCTTCCGTATCATCGTGTCGAAATACCGGTACGCGACGAACGAACTCGTAATTCTCGCAAAATTCGCTGCTGAAGTACAATCGCGCCGCCATGTTACTATTATCTTGTTCATTATCGTCCATTGCTCATCTCTACCAATGTCTCGCAAAAAGTCACAGTCTAGTCGGAAATATTAGTTAAAATCGAGAAGTACGTATTAGATTCATCGTGTATTATATCGCACGCGACGATCGCGAGTGTATATATACAGTGCTCGGGAAATGCTCTTTGTTTTGTCTAGCCGGCCGGGTTCTCGGAATCGCGTCGAGCGCAGGTGTCCCGGCGTTCTCG